ACTAAATCTATACAGCTCTCTTCTTCTACAATTACATAGCATAACTTGCAAAATTAGTTATCTGGCTGAGAGGGTCTAGAAACATACCTCCCACACACCTACCAAGTGCCTTCCTCCTCTCTGCTCACTACAGATGATATTTTGATTATTTTTTTCTGAGCTTAAGATGCATTTTACAACCCATAAGCACAAGGTTTCTGTTGAATGACAGCTGCTTAGTGACATCTACTTTTAGTGATTATTGAGGAAGATAAAGCTGCTTTAACTCAGCAGTCAGGCTCTCAGTGGAAACTCTGCATTTCCTTATCCTTCCACACACCATGTGTTTAATTTTATTTCTAGGTTTAAGGGACCATCTCTGATGAGCACTGAGGAGAGAAGCACTTGCGATATAATCTGTAAGGAAGTACAAAGTTTCCGTTGAGAGACACAGCTACCTAGTGACATCTGCTTTGTGCAGCTGCTGGATATCACTCTGTAGGCAGCACTTCCCTGACAGAGTACCTGGCGAGAAGCAAGTGATTCTGCACCCTTAGAGCAAAGAAGCTTCTTCACGTCATCTGAGAAGAAAGGAGGAAAAAAGGTAAAATTCACAAAATGCAGTTGCTGAAACGGTTGTGTATCATGTACGCTCACCGCGTGTGTGATTATAACGCTTTTTAATTTATCTTTTGTTGCTGCTGAGGTTATTTTTAAAGCAGTTTTAAGAACTCCTGCATCACCATAAGCAGCTGTATGTGTGTTATGTGAGCATATGTTTTCAGTTTTAAATACTTGAGTATATTATGCTGAACCTAGATTAGATTCAGGTATGTCTACGCGCAGTTGTTGCAAAGCTGTCATCTCTAGACCATCGGTGTCAAACAGTTTTGTCCCCATGACTTGTAATTCAGATTAAATTCCTCTGTGTGTGTAATGGAACAGAACTGTAGGCTGGAGAGGTGTCATGCCCGGGACTACACACAGTAGGGGTCAGGTTAATGTAGTCAATGTTCATTGTTATGTAGCAGCGATGTACAGTGCAAAGACAAATACAGCAATGATACTCACTTTTCTTCTTCTGCTTTCCATTCATAAAAATAAAGACAAAGGGGAAGGACATAACTCAGGCTTAGAAAAATTCTGGTATGTTAGGCTAAAAAAATGACACTTGCTGAGATATGAATAACACACACTAATACAATCAAATACATGTGCACTGTGTCCAAGTTACTTACCTCGAAGTAATATAATTTAAAACTCTGTCGCTGCCTATTAGAAAAGAACATGCACATGAAAATGACCATTTCCTGTTATTCATTTAGCCACTGAAGACAACACTTACTGAAAATTTATATCAGCTTTCAGTAAGCATAATTTCATTAGAAGGAAGAGTCAGATGTATTTTTATTACTGTCTTCTTACGGTGATGTTTGCCTGACTGGAAAGATGGGTGAAATCCTGAACTGCTATGAATAGTGGCTTCGTTTTTTACTTTATTCCACACAGGAATAAACAGGGCTGTGGTCTGTATCTTAATTCCTATTTGCTTTCCTCTCCACCATTTGAACAGTGTTCTGTGTGCTTGACATCCAAGCTGCACAGTGTTGCAAGGACTAAGTACGTGCGTGTTAAGGAAAGTACATTTTGCAAGTGTGCACATGCATCCCATAACGCTTAAATAGCGTTTGAGAACCTGTAATGAGAAGTGCACTGGAACTGCAAATCAGTCATTGTTAGAGATTCAGGCTTGCGGAGCAACAACTCGGTCTTCATGCACTGAAAGTCACTGACAATTTTATATTCCTTCCTTCTCAGGAACTGGGGAAAAAATCATGAGTTCGTCAAGTACGGAGTCCTTTGAAGCTGAAATGTCAACCTCATATGACTATTACGATAATTATAATGATGCTCCAAAACCATGCAGTAAGGAAAACGTCAAGAGGTTTGCAGCTTCCTTCCTACCTGTTCTGTATACCCTAGTATTCCTGGTCGGGCTCATGGGAAACATTCTGGTCGTTGTGGTCCTCTTCAAATACAAGAGGCTGAAGAGCATGACTGATGTGTACCTACTAAACCTCGCCATCTCAGATTTGCTCTTTGTTTTATCCTTGCCATTCTGGTCTTATTTCACAATAGACCAATGGGTTTTTGGAACTCCCTGGTGTAAAATCATCTCGTGGATCTACCTGGTTGGGTTTTACAGTGGGATATTTTTTATTATGCTTATGAGCATAGACAGATACCTGGCGATTGTTCGTGCGGTGTTTTCCTTGAAAGCAAGGACTGCCTTCCATGGCTTGATTACTAGCCTTGTTGTATGGCTAGTAGCTCTTTCAGCCTCAGTTCCAGAACTTATATTTAGAGAATCTTTTAAAGAACATAATTATACTACCTGCAAGCTGAGATATCCAGGCAATTTCACATCATGGAAACTTTTTTCCACTTTAGAAATCAACATTTTAGGGCTCCTAATCCCTTTTATAGTTATGACATTTTGCTACTCCATGATCATTAAAACATTAGCTCACTGTAGAAATGAGAAAAAGAATAAGGCTGTGAGGATGATCTTTGTTGTCATGATTGTGTTCTTCTTTTTTTGGACCCCTTACAACATTGTCATTTTCTTACAACTGCTGGAAATTACGGGAGTCTTTAGAGACTGTCAAGTGAGCAGGAGCCTGGACTATGCTTTCCAGGTAACGGAAATCCTCGGCCTTTTTCACTGTTGCCTCAATCCAGTCATCTACTTCTTCATGGGAGAAAAATTTAAGAAGTACCTGAAGATGCTCTTTAAGAACTGGTGGTTACCTGGAGATATTTGCAATTGGTGTGGAGTTCACATCACTTACCACACCGAATCTACCAATTCATTCCACACTCAATCTACGGGGGATCAAGATGCTCTGTAATGTGTTTCAGACCAACCACCGAACTCGCCAGCAAGCAAACTGACAAAAGCGGGAACTTTGAAAAGCTAAGCAAATGCACATGCATTTAACAATAAGCTAGTGCCGATAATTACTTACTTCAGCTTTGATTTCTGCCTCTAGACTTTCTGAATATTCTGACAGAAGGTGTCCTAGATGTGAATCGTGGCAGATGGGACGCGCAAGTTTTATCTGCCGCGATTACAAATCACTGCTCAGATGTAACTGCAGCCTCAGCACCCCGCAAAGCGCTGTGCCGTGCTGCTGCTTTTTCATTGGCATCAAGATGGAGGTTGGCCTGCATGGAGGGGCAGAGGAGACACAGCTGTTTGTCATCAGCACATGCATTTGGAAAATATATTCATTTATTCAAGATGGACGTTTATTACCCTATTTTTTTGTTCTACAGTTGATCTGTGTGGGACTTGCTCGCTCTGATTCTTAGCAAGCTGTTCACAGTATCTGTTACTGTTAAATGTTTCATCTCAGGGAGAGGATACACCCTCTGTCATTAGTAAAAAGGACACAAAAATATATTCTTTATGTGCATAAAGACACAAAGCAAATGCATTATATTGTGTCTATGTGTAGGTGTATATATAAGGCATTTTTTATTATCACTGTAATTCAGGATAGCAATTCTGTATTTTAATTAACATAGAAAATGTTTAAAATATTTTTGAATAAAAGTCTTTAAAAAAATTTATTTTCCAGCGTGTATGAATAAATTTGAAGCATCTTGACTAAAAGTATATCTTTTAAAGTGAATGTTCTTTGTTCCAAAAGTACTTAACCCCAAGACTCAATTTTCATTCACTGGAGACGTATCTGGCAAAACAAAAGAAAGTAAAACCAGAGATTGTGTAGAAACAGTCTGTCATAACTTAGAAACCACACAAAGAATCCTAGCATTTGATAACAAGAAAATGAGAAAAGTGTGATGCCCCAGCAGCCACTCACACATCTACACGATATTAATCGGAGATCTGGAACAGGAAGGAAACTCACACAGCAATGTTTAGATTTTTGGCATAAAAATAATTTTAAGAGAGGCAAAAATCAGTAATGCAGTAGTAGACAAAGTAAGAGTTGACAAATACGTATTGAAAGATATTTCTGGAGTGTCTTTTTGCTGGATGACAACCATTGCGCAGGAAGACTTATTTTTCCTAGGCTGTCAATGACAAAGTGTCTGCTCAGCATTCAGGTATGGCTGCAAGGAGCAGATAAAACATTAAAATGCATCAGGAAAGGGCTGGAGAAGAGATGTAAAAATATTGTAGTGCCAATACTCTCATCACCCTAAATAAGAAATCTAAGTGGAAGCTTACCTCCATGTGACCTCTCTCGTGATACAAGACTGAAAATAAAAAGCAGCATGCTTAAATTCTCACGCACACACATAGCCATCATAATTCATTTGGGGAAAGCATTACCATTAGAAGCGCACTGAGGCTGACAAGCAAGGATCTGCATTAACACAGATAATGAGAATAGCTGTGGAAGACATTACCTGCGGTAAGAAAGTGTCTTCCTTCCCAAGAAAAAAGATTATAAATTCTTACTACTCAGACCTTACAAGTAAAACAGTTGGAAAAAACTGCTGCAAGGGGTGGGTTAGGCCATCCATTACCTATGGAAGAGGAAAACAAATTGCAAGTGTCAGGTGCTCCAAAGTCTCATGGATGTCACTGAACCCAATGACATGTCGATCCCAAGCCGGCGTGGCACATTGTCCTCACAGATGTGAAACTGATGGTGAGCTGCTGAGCTGTTCATCAGTCAGGCGCACAGACTAACCTGGAAGCCAGACAGCACACTGTGGTTATTTTTTCACAGAATCACAGAATGGCAAGGGTTGGAAGGGACCTCAAGAGGTCATCTAGTCCAACCCCCCTGCTAAAGCAGGTTCACCTAGAGCATGTTACACAGGACTTTGTTCAGGCGGGCTTTGAATATCTCCAGAGAAGGAGACTCCACAACCCCCCTGGGCAGCCTGTTCCAGTGCTCTGTCACCCTCAAAGTAAATAAGTTCTTCCTTGTATTCAACTGAAACCTCTTATGTCTCAGTTTGTGCCCATTGCCCCTTGTCCTGTCGCTGGGCACCACTGCAAAGAGTCTGGCTCCGTCCTCATGACATCCACCCTTAAGATATTTGTATGTGTTGATGAGGTCCCTCTCAGTCTTCTTCAGGCCAAACAAGCCCAACTCTCTCAGCCTTTCCTTATAGGGGAGATGCTCCAGTCCCTTTATCATCCTAGTTGCTCTCTTCTGAACTCTCTCTGGGAGTTCCTCATCTTTCTTGAACCGGGGAGCCCAGAACTGGACACAGTACTCCAGGTGGGGTCTCACCAGGGCAGAGTAGAGGGGGAGGATAACCTCCCTTGACCTGCTAGCCACATTCCTCTTAATGCACCCCAGGATACCATTGGCCTTCTTGGTCCTACTCTGTGGTCTTTCTAGCGAGTAAGGTCCTTTGGAGAAACCTACCTTTCCAGACCAGGGGAAGGGCTGCCTGTGCTGGCCTGGCAAAAAATATGGTCAGCAAGCAAAAAGCTCTTGACAACCATGAGGTAAGAGAGGTCTAGGGCGAAGAGCGGCGTTGAGGAATGGCACTGAGACAGCCAGCAGCTCGCAGGCTGGTCCAGCTCTGGGCACACACCCCGTGGTGGGGGAGGACGCCGAATCTGCTCATGTGTGGAATTAACGGGCTGCACCCAGTGGCTGTGCAGCATTGTCATAAATGGAGCTAGCGTAAAGCCCCTTTTCCACACAAAACTCAAAGGTGCTTCACATCGCTGCTCGGCTTTGTGCCCCACAGTCTCTGCACACGTGCCTTTGGTGCAGAGGCTGCCTGGTACAGCCAGAGCTCCCCCCGGGTGAACGTTGTCCTTGTTTCTCTGCCCAAATAACCTCTTCCAGTCCTCCCAGTAACACCCACAGCTGCTCAGCTCTGCTGAATAAGCAACCAAGCTGAAAGTTGTGCTCTGAGCAGGTTTGATGAATCGGGTGGAAGGGGGAGCTCACCTTTAAGTGATGGACTCAGGAATCCAGGTCCTAGGACTGGAGCTCACCAAACCTGGGTGGTTTCATCCTCTCTGTCACCTGGAACAAACCTTCCTCCCCCATGCATCAAGCTTCAGTGGATAATGCCATTCCTTTTTTGAGAGAGGGCTTTGAAATCTGCTGATGAGAAAGGATGAGATAATCGTATTAATACAGAAAAAAAATAAGGCAGGGATTTTCAAAATGTCAGTTGACCAAAGCTGTCATTTTAGATGAACAAGACTTTCCAAGCAATGATGGTATGTGTAGACCTACTGAACCATGAAAGAGAATGGACAGACATTTGAGTGAAGCAAAGCTGACTCATTTGTGAACCCACACTTTTACATCAGGGTTCCTTGGAAGGCCAGCCTGAGTCCTCTCTTCAGTTGTGCTAAGCTGCCATAGAAAGGTAGACAAGGGGAAAAACCAGCTTAATTATATTAAATATAAATAATGATGAAAAGGTAAAAACAAGTTGGTTGGTTTGTTTTCATACAGCGCTTAGGCCACCAGTCACTCCCTAAACATAAACCTGAATTACACACTTATCTTTTACTCTAGAAGATGGCTTCTGCACACCTGGTCTGAAGGAGGATGCGATTCAGCAGGCACTACAGTGCTCCCTTGTCACCAGCATGCTTCCAGTCTAAAACTGCTGTCAGGGATCTACACTCACATGTTTTCCTTCAGGAGCTCTTAATGGTTTCCAGTTGTACCCAACTTCTCTCTCAATGCAGACAGAGACCAACCTCATCAACCCCCATCTCTTACGCAAATATCTCCACTTAGTAACATCAATAAAACAAAAATTATCATTAAAATGATGCTTAAGGCAACACCTAAAGAGCTCAACAGCACTTTACTACTCCAGGCATGAAAGGAGCTTTTAAGTAGGAGGCTGGAAATGAATAGTCAATATAACTGTGGTGAGATTTCTAGCATTTGCATAACTGATAAGACCATTCAAAGGTGATGTAGTACTGGCTGTAGCTGCAGTCATCTTACTGTAACACAGCAATGATGTACACAGGTGCCCCTGGAGAAACCACTCCTAATGGAGCAGGCACTATCAATGAGGAGACACCAAGTTAGATGTTCCCAGGATGATTTTCTTTTTCACAGTCATTCAGCAGCAACATCCATCAGAAAAAAAAAAAAAAAAAAAAAAAAAACAATTTTTATTCATTCTGTCCCCTGGGGACACACTGACTAGTGATGACTTGTCTGGCTCAGATATGTGTGGTCTAATTCACTTTATTTGCCAAGATCAGTCAACACTCATTAGAAGTAAACTTCAGCACTTAGTTCAGATTTTTTCAAAGTCATTCAGCAGCAAAATCCAACAAAAAAAAAAAAAAAAAAAATCCCATCTTACAGGGTAGTCATTGAGTCAAAGACATTTCTCACAGAAATGAGGCTCAAAAGTGGAAAAACACTTTGTCTATTCCAGGCCAGCAAAATCCAAATCCTTTGCCAACTCCTTGACAGAGCACTGGCATGACTGACCGATGCTGCTGTTCTTTCCCTTGGCAGAGCATATCCCTCCACATATCCCTCACGTGCTCAGCTCAGAAGACAACTGCTCACAGGCCACGCTCAGGCTTTTGCCTTAATTTATTTCTGATCCTCCCTTGAACTCTCAGAAATGGTAGCATATATGATATCTCTATTGAAAAGAGCAATTAATGTCTTCTCTTCCGCATCTCTGGCTGCTCAACCTTACTTTTAAAAAGCTACTATCTTACAGCCATGGGAGCTGAGGTACAAAGCAAAAGCTCAGACATTATGAGCACAATGCACATTTTTGACAGAATCTCAGGGCCCTCCTAGCTCTCCCTGGGGAGCATTCACATTCCAGCATGGTGAGGGGGACTCCAGGTAAGAGCCACACCCACGGTGCCCTTTCTGGTAGCCAAATCTGAAATGGCCCAGCCAGGAAAGTGCCTGTCTGGATCTGGGTTCTGCGAGGAGCACCACAGGTTAACGCAAAGGGTATATGGAGGTAAGTGAATGAGAATGACCAGCTAATGCCATCTTCCAATAAAAGATGTTCTTCACTGGCACAGATAAGAGAGGGTGTTATTGGTCTTAAAACACCAGAGAGCAAGGATTCCTGTTTGCAGGTGACCGAAAGAAAAAGAATTTCTTCCTCTGTATAAATGCAGCCGAGATACACGATTGATCAGTGCATCATACTTAGTTTTTGTTTGGTTTTTTTTTTTTTTTTTTTTGGTTTTTTTTTTTTTTTGGTTTTTTTTTTTTTTTGGTTTTTTTTTTTTTTTGGTTTTTTTTTTTTTTTGGTTTTTTTTTTTTTTTGGTTTTTTTTTTTTTTTGGTTTTTTTTTTTTTTTGGTTTTTTTTTTTTTTTGGTTTTTTTTTTTTTTTGGTTTTTTTTTTTTTTTAATTTCATCTTGGAAAGGTTGAAGTGTCTCTGGATTTTAGTTTCTTCTTTGAGAGTAGCATTCAG